AAGATATGCTCCAAATAAGCAGGTGTAACACTCAATCGTAGTGAAAAATTGTGTAACACAAATGAGTATATGGAACTAAAATCTACTAATACCTTAGCCAAGTTCTTTGAGACAAAATACATACCTTGAACCACGTCTGGATTTGCTTCAGCATATGATGCCGTAAAGGTATACACTCATCCCAGCATTTGAGCTTCTGGCTGTTCTTTCATAAGTGGGCAGTTACGGATCAGGTGTTGTTGACTACCACACTTGAAATAGGATCGAATGACTTGATGACACGGCTGATTACCATGATTCTTTTCACGAGTGCGACAGGTAGGTGCCTTACCAAGAACTGATGCTGGTTTAGGAGGTATCTCTGTTGCCATTCTGGGCCTCTTGTTTTGTAAACCAAACCTAATCGACCTTCTTGGAGGCACATGAGGTCTAGAATTGCCTGCTCCTCAGGATAAACCCCTCAGTCTGCTTTCTACTATTTCTACTTTCGCCAAAACTTCATCATAGGTATTCAATTCTAGAACTGCAAGAGCATCCTGGATCTCTGGGCGTAGCCCCCACTGAAATTTTCTTGCCCACTACCCTTCATCAGTTAGAATGGCTGGAGCAAAATGGATAAACTCAGTGAATCTTTGAGTATATTCAACCATTGATAAGTTTCCCTGAGTGAGCTGCATGAAATCTAACTCTTTCTAGTGTTGGAGTTGTGTTGGAAAGTATTAGGCATTGAACACCCTCAAAAATCTTTCCTAGGTGATGGGAAGAGGTAAAGTAGTTTGTCTGAATTTCCACCAATGGTCAGCTTCACCCACAAGCAGATATATAGCCATGATAACTTTATGTTCAAAAGTCACCCCCAAAACTTGGAATGCCTTTTCAATTTAGTTCAACCATCCTTAAGCTTCAATAAAATTCTTGGTACCAGTAAATGTAGGAGGATGGAGTCTCATAAACTTTCTATGACAGTTTAGATCCATAATGACTAGTTCTGGATTGTATGGAGTTGGTATTGGAGGAGGGCCATGTATCCCTTCTCTAGGCTGGTTACCAAGCTCCTCTATCATGTGGTACAACCGGTAAATATGCTCTTATAAAGAAATATAATTGGGAGGTTGCTTCGGTGGAGTTCGTCCACGTCTTATTTTACAACCATTCATTTAGAAAAGAATGAATTAGAACATTTCAAAATAATATTTCCTACTTCTCATCAGGCGAATAGTTTCAAAAAATATTATATTTAAATTCTAAAACCTCATGCACAAGGGATGATTCTATGAACATGAGATTTAATACTACTTGTTATGCCCTGACCCTTGATATGAGGCGCAAGTCCTACTCATGCCATTTTCATACAATGAGCCCGCAAAATATATATATATACAACACAACAATTACCATATAATTTAGCATCCCATGTAATATATATACAATAATTATATATATAGAATATAAGGTCAAAATTTAGAGTTTAACAAAACAAAACAAAAATTTCTCGAATATGCACAAAATATACAAAATAGGAACCCTTTTTACATGTTCTACTTGTTTGGCAGTGGTTTTAGCTCTTCTTCCTAATTTGAAAAATATCAGGGTGAAATTTAATGAGCTTCACCAACTCAATAAATATTTCCATCGTCGCAACCCAGATAAGATTTCATGAAAAACACACAGTATGAGATAAATGCAAGAGTGATGTTTTAATGCAAAACTCATTTATTATTTTCACCACTTCACATGTTTCTGATCAAATTTCTGAATTCTCTCGAACATCATATACAATCCTCAAATGTATATCCACATACTCTCGAAAGAATATAGATATACTCGAATATCAATCATCATCTTAAAACATAATCACATACACATGAAAGATCACATATATACTCGAATGGTCATTTTTAAGGTTTCCATCATGCGATGTCATTTATGTCGTCATTGAGGAGATGCGAAATGGATCCTTCCATCGCATTGATAACACACACACACAAATCTTACAATGACCACAATAGTTCGTTTGTTAGGTGGTCCACACATACAAATATCTATTCACGTTTGGATTAGGTTTCATACTCTATTCATGTGCAGGTTTACCATGCCCGTTGAACTTCAGCCACACATACGCACTCCCCTCTTTGATTCGGACTAAACAAAAGGGCATTCAGGGTCCATACTCTAATTATTCATAACTCCTCATTTTTTATTTCTTATTTATTTTATTTTTATTCTACTTTCTCTAAAATTTTATTTAACTGATTGTTTTACCACGATAATTGTTTATTTTCCTTTTTAGTTTTACCTTCTTATTTTATTTCATTTTCTTTTTTAATGTTTCGCTTAATTAAGAATTTGTTTTAATTCCTCAATTCATATCTCATCACAGTCCAATTAATCTCCAGTCTTTTGGGTCTGTTTTCTAGTTTCATCTCCTCAGAATTTTCAATTGCTTAGGTCCACTGCTTATAGATTTGGGTTCTATTTTTCATCGAAAATCGGGTCAGTGTCCATTTAAATTTCAAAATATCATGATTTTATAAAATACATGCAATTTTAAAATTCGAATCCGATTGAGAATTAGAAATACTTACACTAATACATGTCTTCCCGGATCCGCCTGAATGTCCAAATTTTTCTATACATATGATATAACTTAATTAAAATACTTCAAAATACTAAAAATTAATTTAATCAAATTACGAGTTTCAATAACCATCCAACGAAATACCCAAAATTATCGGGATCTGTATCCGAAAAACCTTTCGACTCCCCGTTTGGTGAATCAGATTCCCATTTTCGAGGAAGAATTTTCAACTTTCCAAACAGCAAATCAGAATTCCAAAAGGGCGATTCCGGCCTCCATTCCTACGGAAGACCTTTCGACTTCTACGGTGGGTGGATTTCCCCACTCCCGAGGGAACCTCTTTAGTTCTTGCGCGAGTGGGTGGCCTGACCAAGCCCGTATGGCCTGCTCGACACCGGTCCCGCTCTACTGCCGCTCAAACCACTACCAAAACATAAAAACAGAACGGTTTTACCTTTGTTGCGAGTGATTCGGCCTCTGCTTAGCTCCCAATCGTCTTCTATCGGTCACCCTGCGGCTCTCTAGCTTCTAAACCTTGCTCGGGTGAGATGCTTAAAAAACCCAAACCTCAATTTGGGATTCCGTCGTCATACGGTGCTCCTCGGCCGCGATTTCCCTTTCTTCCCTTCTCTTCGACTTTCCCCATCTGTGATCTCTCTTCTCCTCCCCCTTGTATAGTCGTTCTCGGCTTTCCTCCTCTTCCCATTTGACCACACTCTTTTCTTCCCTTCCTCTATTTTCTTCTTACTTCCCCTCTTTCTTTTTAGCATCTCTCTTCTTTTCTCCCTCTCGGTTTGCCCGCACGATACCCTCTCTTCCTTCTTTCCCTGATCACCCCTCTCTCTTTCTCCCTTTCTCTTTTTCGGCTTTTCTCCCAAATGAAGAAAACCTTAATATCTTTCCCTTTTATACTTGTTCCCCCAGCCGTTGGATCTCACAAGCTCGATCTGGGCCGTCCGTTTTCTTTTAAATCTCCTCCATCTGATCTCCTTCAACTGTCCGATCTGGGCCGTCCATTTTTCTGATTTCCTTTGTCCCCTTCCACTTCCCCTTATTTATGTTTTTATCCCCTTTTTATCTTACATACTTTTATTTAGGTCATTGAAATTAATTAAAAGTCCCCCTAAATTTGAAAAATTCATTCATTTACATCCAACTCCACTTTTATTTATTTATTTACATTTCTTCTATTTCATTTAGGGGATGGAAGTTACATATTACATATTTTGGAACTAAGAATATTGGAGTCTAAAAGGAACCATACCTTCTAGCATTAATCCTCATGAACTCAAGAAATTTTTTGGTACCAAAACCTAAGGATTGATTGTGCTTGTAGATAATCTCTCCCAAAATTATGAATAAAGAATGAGGGCTACAAAGTTGAATCATGATTACTCTTGGCGATTCATGGAGAAAAAGAATATAAAAAGAACTTAATTAAGTGGTAATATCTTTACATTGATTGACTGTCATTATTTGAATAATTATTTAATAAATTGATTAATTCCATTTTTTTCATACTTGATAAGCTTGATTAAAAACTGAATTAATGATATCTTTTAAGGAAATTAAAATCAACGGTTGATATAGTTATACTTTAAATTTCCTTATTTTTTAGCAATTGATATGATAGTTATATTTGAATCATTTAATGATTATGAGCTTTAATTAAAATATTAAGTTTGAATGATGTTATGGTATGAATATGATTATTTTATGAATAACCTTTATTGTAACACCCCAAACTCGATAATGAGGTGCAATTCCTACTCATGCCATTTCATATAATGGACCCACAAAATATGCATATGTATAGTTAAAAAATTTAGCATTCAATCAACATCCCATGTAGTATATACAGTAGTTATATATACAAAACATGACGTCAAAATTTAGAATTTAACAAAGTAAAATAAAAATTTCTAGAATATGAATAAAATATACATGAATAGAAACCTTTTTACAAGTTCCACTCGTCCAGCAGTGGTTCTGATTTTTTTTTCTCATTTAAAAATATCATGGTAAAATTTAATGAGTTTGACCAACTCAATAAGTATTTCATTCTTCCAAACCCAGATTAGACCTCATGCAAAATACACAT